CCCGCCCCGCCCGACAACAGAATAGAACGCCTCTTTCAGATCCACAACCGCATCGCGACGCAGCTCCGCTGGCGACGGCAGGGCGACGACCAGGATGTGTCCATTTACCGCGCCGCCGACGAGGGCGACCGCACCGAGGGCCCCGCGACCGCCGTGAGCGTCTGGCGCGTGGTGAGCGACGACGACGAGGTGGACGACGAGAGGGTCGCGTGCGCGCGTCCGAGGTCATGACGATGAGCTCCGGGAGCAATAAGTAGTACGTAACTGACCCACTCTCTCCCACTCGACCTGACATGAAGGCCGGGATGACGGAGGTCTCGGTGGCGCTCCACTCGACGGACCCGACGCTGTCCGCGCTGCGCCGCGCGCTCCGCCACTCGCGCCACGTCCCCTGGCACCTCCCCGTCAACTTCGAGAGCGTGCACGAGCGCTGCCTGCCCGAGCTGATGGCCGCGGCGCGGCAGCACGGAGACCCGGCGCCGAGGCTCAACGCCACCCACAAGATGTTCATGACCAGGGAGGCGGCCCTCAAGCTCGACGTGAGGTGAGCCTCCGGAAAATCTATTTTTGAAAACCAGAAAAAAGGAGAAAAGTCAAGAAGAAACAGAAAACATCTCGACTTTGTAGTGAAGTCGAGTAAAGTAATCCACACTACTCCCTCTCTGCACCGCTCAGCGCCGTCCCCGGCCTGGTCCTGCGGCCGCTCGAGCCCCGCCACGCCAAGGCCGTGGACGACGGCTGGGCGTACGCCTGCCCCGGGTCCGAGGGGATGTTCGCCGCCGTCCTGGCGAGGAACCCGGGCCTGTCCTGGGGCCTGTTCCGCGAGGAGGACGCCGCAGTCGAGGACGCCGCCGCGGGTGAGCGAGGGTCAGGCGACCGTGAGTGACGCCGTCGACTAGATAAGAGCGCGTGAAACGGCCACCGCAAAACATTTGTCTTGACGCTTTACTTTCTGCTCGAGTACGTTCAATTAACAAGCTGCCGATGATGCCGCAGGTGAGCCCGTGGCTCTGATCCTCGGCACGTGGTACGGCGGGCTCGGCATCCTCTACACGGCGGCCTCCCACCGGCGCCGCGGCCTCGGCGAGCTGGTGACCCGGGCCGCGAGCCGCGCCCTGGCGCAGCGCGGCCTCGACGTCCACTGCAACATCGTGTACCCCAACCCGGCGTCGGCGGCCACCCTGGCCAAGGTGGGCTTCGAGCGCGTGTGCGACTGCACCTGGCTGCACTACAAGCCGCCGCCCTCCTCGCCGCCACCGTCGCGGTAGGCACCGAAAAGCCAACCCGAAGTACGCCGCCGATATCCAGACGAGCCTCAAGGCCAAGGACGGACACGAGAGTGAACCACCAAAAGCGGCTTTTCGAATAGATCGGGGTGCGAACGCCACTGTTATCGCCAAGTTGTTTGGGCCAACACTCACCTGTGTGGGAGAGCCGAGTAGACAGGGTGGCGAGGCGCCGCCGCGTCGTCCCTAAACAAAGCAGACCAGGAGATGAGCGACAGTCTTGCAGAGGTTAGGTTGCGCGTCGTAAGACTCCAAACAGTTTTGAACGGGCCAGTGCATCTAGCACGCTGGTATCACCTTTATCAAGGTTTATTTCAACAGTCATTTGTCCCTGAGTTTAGAAAAGATTTTGGTAAAGCAGAAAAGAAGAAGAATGAAGGGAACAACAAAACTGAAATCACTATGCTTGAAAGTGGTGACTTCCATTTACTTGTTCCCCGCACTCTTCTGCATTTCAGCTTTACTGGAATACTTTATTAATATGTCCGCACACTAACCTAGACAACTAAACAGGGACAGTTTTGAAGATTGAGTGAACTTACTTTTCCAAAGCCAAAATTTGAAGACCCAATTTTTCATACAATATTGCTCTTTCAATGAGGTATTTTATTGGTATAAAGAAGATCAGGAAGAACAAGCCAGAACATAACAAGCCTTCAATTGTTCCTTTGAAGTTGTCTGCTAAAACAATTGCAAAGCAGTCTATTTCTGAAAAACAGTTGAAGGCTTGTTATGTTCTGGCTTGTTCTTCCTGATCTTCTTTATACCAATAAAATACCTCATATAATCTAGATCCACTTCTTTACAAATGCTACCAAAAGCCTATGACCCCACATCCACTCCCGGCTAAACACAGTACGGTCGCCTGCGCCTGCGCGTTCTGCTTCTGCTTTGTTTAGGGACGGTGCTGGTCTTTAGCAATTTTTTTCTGTCTTTGATTTTTTTATGTTGGATACCTTTGAAAGAAACCCAACTGTGACGGTGAGTACTTTATTTCTAAAAGATACAATTACACAGGCACGTTTGGAAATATCTGATTGGTTAACACGTTGAATGACTTATGCTAATAACTATAAACTGTAAAATATATAATTGTATCCTTAACATATAACACATTAGTTATGAAATTATGAACATGAAAAAAATTGTGATAAAATGATCCCCATTTTCCCCTTAGTTTGTAAATATTGTACAACTTATGCTAATCTCTTTTCATAATGAACACAATTCATGGCAACAAACTTTGTCACACCAAACGGCAACATGTACCTTTATGAAACAGTCGTTGGGGTACCTTACTTCACAAATTGGTGTACAAAAACTAAAAAAGAAACAATTAAAAATAAATAATAAAATTGCCCTGGAAAATTGAGATGTTCCATCAAAAATTTTTGAATGCCTTTCACCACACTGACCCATTTGGGTCTACAAACGTGGCTGGACATTGAAGTGCGACAAAGACAAAATGATTTTTCTTTCTTTCAATATAAAGTGAACATAAAAACACCAAAAAAGGAAATAAGGTACATAAAGAGGGTTGCGAGTGCCATCCAACGAGTAGGTGGAGGTTCACATCAGCTTCCAAGCTCTTGAGCTTTTGTGCGAAGCCCACCAAGAGCTTTGTCAGCCAATCTCACGACTCCAAACACAGAATAAAGTTAAAAACGGCAGTCATCTGCCTGCAAGGGGCAGTGCGGCACCGGGCACGAAGCCCGGTCAGTTTTAAAAGGTTGGCTCATTTTTGTGCCCCACACATCATGTAAAAAATAACGGACTATTCCTCAAAAGTGACGCGAAACAGACGGGATGAGGTCATAATTTTTATACCTATGTGTCTTTATGGCGCCCTCTACCTGACGTCAGTACAACCATAGCGGTTCGATCACAATGTTTAAGTTCAATTGAGCCCAAAGTCGTCGGTTTGTGAGCAAGGTCACCGAGACCGTGTCCGAGTGACGTCCGTCGCGACGGTCGCGAAGCCCGTTACGGCCACGACGTCCGTTCGGCGTTGTGCGTTTGGGGCGTTTAGGTGGTGGTGATGTGCCGGCAAGAACGGGGTCAGGGGGTCAGGGCGCACGGCCAGCGATAGGGCGTCAGGGCCTGAAAAGTGCTGCAGCTGGTGCCGCAAGAGCTGCGCTGCAGGTGGTCGGGGCATAGAGGCGGATGTGCCAGCGGAAACAGTCGGTCGGAGCACACCGCCAGCGCTTTCGAGCGCCTGCAGGTGCTGCGGCAGGTGCTCGGGGCGTTAGGCGGTAATGTACCAGCGGGAGCAGTCGGGGAAAACGGCCAGCGAGGGCGCGCTGCGCTCGGGGCGCTGCGGCGGCAGGGCCTGCAGGTGCTGCAGCTGGTGGCGCAGGTGCTGCTGCAGGTGCTCGGGGGCGTGCGCCTGCGCGTGCACGTGCGAGCAGCGCGGCGGCCACGTGCCGACGTGCTGCCCCGACGTCGCCATGCTCGTACACGCGCACGCCGCGCACAGCGGGCCGCCGTGCGCGCCGCACGGCTGCCAGGACGCCGACTGGAGCACGCCGAGGTGCTCGCCGAGGTGCCCGACGCCCCCGTCCTGCTGCACGCCCCCGACGCACCGGCAGCCGCACGCCGGCGCCGGGGGCGGCCGCTGCTAGGTGGGCAGGTGGTGGTGGTAGTGGTGATGGTGGTGGTGCTGGTGCTGCACCGCCTGCAGCGCCGTGTGCACCAGGCACGGCTCGTCCGCCTCTCCTAGCTGGGCACAGACAAAAACACTTTGAGATGTTACACGGTAAAAATAAAAACTTAAAAGGAAATTTCAAATAAACCAATAAAATAAAAATAATTTCTGCACAAATAAAATGCGTGATCTTGGAGTTTGAATCCAGAACGACGCAGTGCTCGACGTACGGCCAGCAGGTGCGGTGGCGGCGGCGGCGGCAGCGTGCACAACGCCAGGTCGTCCTGGTGGCGCGGGTGGCGCGGCGCGACGGGCGCCAGCGCGGGCACGGCCTGCGGCAGGGCGCCCAGGCTGCGCGAGCGCACGGCGGCGCGCGGCGGCGGCGGTGCGGGCGGCGGAGGCGGCAGCGAGGCGGCCACGATGTGGTGGACGGGGCGCGAGTCGCAGGTGACGGCCAGGCACAGCTCGTCGGCGATCTGCGAGCACAGCGACGGCTGCGGGAAGGCCTGCAGAGAGAGAGAGAGGGGGGGAGGGCCGGCGGCAGTGAGCGGGTCCCGTCGCAGAGCTCTCCAACAAGTCCCACCGTCAGCACTACTTACCATCTCGAAGCGCGCGCTGATCCGGCGAGTGAAATAGCAGAACTCAAAAATGGCCACGGTCATAGCGACGGCCAGTCCACAGAGCAAGACCACGAACACGCCGCCTGCAAAAGACACGCGGCCGAGGCCGTCAGGGTGTACCCTCCTCGCGCCTGCTCTGTGGACTAGCCGCCGCTGCGGACCGTGTCGACCCCCGGGTTCCGCTCTTGGACTCGGCCGGCGGCCGGCCGCTACTCGGCGGCACCGCGATACTCACCGATGTTGGCCACCCCGAGCGAGTTGGCCTTGTTCTCCTTGCCCTTCTCGGCGCGTTCGCAAGTGCTGCCCATGTTCTTCCACCACTTGTCGTACAGCATCTGGATCTCGCCCTTCTCCTGCAGCTCCAGGATGACGAGCGATATCTTGTCCCGCCACGGCGACCCTGCAACAGGCAAAGGTGGGGGGCGGAGGGGGGCCCACGATACACTGTAAAATAAAAGTTCTAGCAAGGGTCAAGGGTTACAGGGAAATTTTCAAAGACGAGTGTTGTAAAATTACAAACATAGTTGGAGTAAATCGTCGAACAAGAACGGGCTGTCACAAATTTACAACATATTCTATAAATCGGAAATACAAAAGATGCTGTAAATTTACGAAGGTATTTTTCACATTTTTCACCGACGTACCGACGTCATGTAGACTGTCGTCACGATGATCACGTCCAACAATGACGGTTTAAACTGCTTTTTTGTATTTCAAATTTGTAAAACGTTTTCGTGTCCTTTCGAATTTAAACCATTTTTCATTGTATCGCTTTCAAAGTCCACCTTTGCCAGCAACATACCGATGGGGGTGGCGATGCCGTAGCCCTTGGAGTCCAGCAGGTCCCCGATGCTTGTCAGGTTGCAGTCCCGCTGGACGATGTAGTCCAGCATGGTGGACTCCATGAGGAAGGCGTAGTTGCCCTGGAGCACCCGCTGGATGCCCTCCTCGTACGTCGATACGAACACGGAGGGCTTCTTGTTCTCCATGAAGCGCCACATCTTCTTGTACGTCTCAATCATGGAGTCCTGCCGGTCACGCAATGACAACAACAGGTGAGTTTAGGGATTTTTTTTAAAGCACTCTTCTGAAATTTATTATAAATTTCATTATGAGTGTCAATTTTTTTCCCGCAGAAAAGTTTTATTTTCCTTCTTCAAACTTTTTTCGGGAGTATTTCAACGTTTTTCACATTTTGTTTTAGGTTTCCAACTTTACATGAAAAATTTCGGATTAAAAAATCCCTAGAGTTCGTGTGGAAACAGAGTTCGGGAAACGCAAGCCTGCTTTACACGCTTCGGAAGCTTCACGCAGCCAATCACGCTGGGCGTGAATTAAAATCACACCGGGGGATTTTCACGCCCGGCGTGACTTTCACGCCTCGAGTGATGAAAGTCAGTTCCTAATTGGCTGCGTAAAGCTTGCATAGCGTGAAAATCACGCTTGCGTTTCCTGAACTACAAAACTGCCACAACAGTGCGTATGGAAGGTATTCGTCGAGGTGCTCACTCACTCACCCTAAAGAAGGTCATGGTGGAGCCGCCCTCCAGGGTGCCGTAGGCGATGTCCGTCTGGCCGGCCAGGTCCTCGGCGTTCTCGATGGGCGTGATCATCCGCTCGACGGTGAGGAAGGCGGCCAGGTTGGCCGTGTACGAGGCGATGATGATGAGCGTGAAGAACCACCAAATGCCGCCCACGATGCGCGTCGAGGCCGCCTGCGCAGGGGGCGGGGCAGGGTGAGCAGCAGCATAGCAGTTTGAGCGGGAAGGGCAAATGGTAAGAAAACAATCCGCGCGCTGCCGAGCCTGGCCTGGCAGCCCTTGCCTCGCGGCTGACTGACGGACCGGCCTACCCTCTACACAGTGACAGGCGCATAAGGGCTGGAAAGTTTCCGGAAAATTTCAGGAAAAAAAACAGAAAATTTTCGGGGAAAATTTCTTTGACTTTGCAAGTCTTCCGGAAATTTTCGGTTTTTTTTTTTTGAAATTTTCGGATTTTTTGGGGGGGAATTTTCAACCCTACGCCCGCGTGTGAGCGTGAGTTTTCACGGTCGCACTCACCCTGGGGTTGAGGTCCGAGCCCTGCTGCATGAGGGTGCCGATGGCGAACCAGAAGCAGTTGACGATGCTGAAGTGGTTGGCGGCGAACTCGAGCGGCCCGCGCCACTCGTAGGGCGAGAAGCGCGCCGTCACGTACATGGTGAGCGAGACCAGGATGTAGGCCAGCACCACGAACATCCACACGTGCACCGAGAGCGGGTTCATGAAGGAGAAGAGGCGGGTCGGCTGCGACGTGGGCACCTGCACGCACAATAATAGAACCTTTAATGCGCGAAAATATTTTTTGAAAAAAAAAAAAAAAAAACGAAAACGAAAAGGTAAACGAAAAATCGTGACGAAGTGTTATGAATAGACACTGATATTCAATTATTCAGGTGTTCAAATTCGGATTCGGTCACACTTAAAAAAAAAAAAAAACTGCTACATATTGGTTAATCCACGATGTCACATTCGTTTCAGTAATGTGAAACAGCCAGGCTCTCAGCATGGTAACTTCTACAGTCGCACTATAAAATAACACCGTAAAAAAATTTCTTCTCCAAATTACAACATATTTTGTATTTTCGATTTACAAAATACATGTTGTTAATTACGACAGCCCATTATTGCTCGGCAATTTCAAGCCGATGATGCGCGTGTTTGTAATTTTCCATTACTTTTTTTTACACTTTATGGCAAAACTTCCGTCATTCTCACGAGTATTATTTCTCGCATTGAATTCGTCGATGAAAACCTCGGTAAGAATGACAGCTTCCACAGGAAAAGGAGTGTAAACTTTACACTGTAAAGTCACATATGAATTGACTAACAGTGACGTATACTGTTTGCCTACGCCTGGCTACTGTTCAATGAACAAGTGTTCATACCTTGAACAGGATGCTGATCCCGAGGTTCATGAAGGGCTTGGTGAAGTCGATGACGCTCTCGCGGGCGTAGTTGATGGTCATGGAGCCCACGGCCAGGTCCGCCTTCTGGACAGGGAAGCGACACGCACGTTAACAACACGCAGGGCTTAAGTGTACATGCGTCAGTAAAAATACTCTGCAAATTCGAGTGCGTGACATTCAAAAACTGCTCACTGCGTGGAAGTTGACAAGATGTCGCGCGCATTTTTAAGTGTTTGAATGTCACACACTTCCAATTGAAGAGCACACGTTGATAACAAAGAAATAAAAAACGGAACAATAAAAAAGCACACACACTAAAGCGACAATTATTATTTAAAAAGAAATATTTATAGGAGCTTTCAACTACTTTAACGTTATTGTGCGAAAATGTGTCGAAACTACTTGGCCTTGGCCTACCTGTCTCGCACACCAACCGTGCCCAAAACTACTACCACGCAGCCAACTAACTACAGGCGGGCTGCGGGGTGGGAGAAGGGGGGGGGGGTGGGGGGTTACAAAAGTCGTCTAATCAGTTGGGTCGTCGACAGTCATCAGGAAGATTATACAAATAATCCACAGACTTGGCGTCTCGCCGAAATGGCCGGCTTTCACTTCCTCTGTTCGCGCGTCTCTCCCCAAAGCGAGTCGCCATTGAATAGACTTCCGATCCATTTTCCAACACCCACCTCATTCAAAGTCCTCTTGTGCCGGCCATAGCGTCTCTGGAAATCAAAACAGCAGACGAAGCAGCAGCAGCAGCAGCAGCAGCAGTTGAGAGCGGCGGCCGAAGACACATCGCCTCCATATTCATGAACGCCTCGTGGGTTCTCCTGAGGGGTCCCGAGGCAGCCGAACAAGGCCCCCCTGGCGAACCACTCTCAGGTGAGGTAAGGGCTACAAGGGGCGAAGGGTGGAGGGACGAGGTTTGGATTGGATGCCAACACACCGTACCGTGGTGCATCGCGGTTGGGCGAAAAAATATTTGATTTGGTCTGCAACTATGGAAAAAAAGGTCAGAAGATCTTTAGTGTATATGGGTTAGGATTCAGGTACCTTTTCCCTGGTGTTGAAAACTTTAGAATTGTCATATTGAAAATCGCCTTCGCCAAACCGTGGGCACTTATATATAGGAGGTTAACGCCAACGGTGAGGTGAAGTCTCTCACCGTTTGCCAAACGGTGCACCGTTTTGAGAAAAATGCGTATGGAGTTTCGTGGGCCAGATTTTTTTACAATATTTTTTTCAAAAGACGACTTCTTATCGGTTTCTACAGGTCTACCCCCTCTACGTCAACGAGGCAACGCAAAACAATACAAATAAATAGACAGAATCGGAATGCCATCAATCTTCGCGTCCAAAATTGGAGGCGATGCCGTTTACTTTATCCCGATCGGTCAAGTCCGCTCGGCTGACGCTCAGGTGTGCGGAAGGAGGAGGAGAAAGGGAAGAGTGATGGATGGAATCAAAGACAAATTTGAGTTTCTGGGATCGCTCGACTCGGAGCGGAGGTAATGGATTTCAAGGCCAAGAGAATGTGATATGTATCGAAAGAGAAGTAAAGTACAATGCGTACGGCTTAGTTTCATGTTTGAGCCTATCTTTTGTTTTCGCGTTGTCCAGGGTCGAGGTTGTCAGGTATCGAGGCCGAGAGCGAGAGAAGTATTTATTACTTGACAGTTGGCAGGCATGCTGACATGCAGCTAGACGTCACATAGAACCCTACAGAACGCCATGCAAGGCCAACTGCAGCAGAGTTGGAAATTTTCTAGAATGTCCGGAAAATTT